GATGATCCCCAGAAGGGGATCTTTTTAAAGTGAAAAAAATTTTTTGTTTTTATGTTTAGTAGGTCAGGGACTATAAATATGAAGAACTAGACAAAAATAACACAGTCTTTTATTACTATAGAAGACATCTTATGTGTAATAACTCCTAATATTAATGCTGCCTTGAGTGAGTCTAATGCCTTTCTTCCAGTGGCAAATAGCTTGAAATGGTGGTCAAATGAGTATTCCAAGTTTACCACTAATGAGAAATTTGACCGCCTGTGTTCTTGCAAAAATGCAAGTTACTAATCAATCTAAAAGGAATTAAGCTGCCCTTGGTAACGTGAGGCCAAAGGACTGATGTCAGTCCTGGGGAAAGACAAGGTTGGACTGCATCAGGCAATCGCGCAATCAAAAAGGGACACAGAGATGTGAAGGGCATGATGTTGGGGCTTCTGAAATTTTAATGAGGCTGTGACTTGACACTAAGACCCTGCTTGTTTGCCTGGGCGGAGTGGAGAAGGCTAATCTGCACAAAATCATCTTTATCCCCAGAGATGTTTTCTTTCCTAGATGAAATTAGATTTCAGAAAACATGACTTTCCTTTCGTGACTGCCCACGGGGAGCTGGCGGCCGCATTCCCTCCCAGACTGGACCAGACCCCTGAGCAGATGTAACAGATTAGCGAGGTTCCCATCTGCTGACAGTGGCTGCGGTCTCTCTTGTCTCCGCTCGTTCTCAGAGGAGATGGGGGCGGCTCTGTGCAGGATGCAGGCGGCCAGAGTTCTGCCAGCTCAGGCAGCGTCTTTCTGGTGGAGCATGAAGAACCGTGTAGTTAACATCTCAGCTCCTGTGACTTTTGTGCTAGGAGAGGACACTTTGGTCAGTTTCAGAGGCTGCCACTTGGAGGATGGAGGTGAATATAAAAGAGCAATCCTCTGACCATTCTGGAATGTACACATTCTTGATTTCTTAAACTATTTCTACAGTGGTCTGATAATTGTGTCTCAATGTGTTTTCTTGTTCCCCACTTTTTGGTCCTGCTTGTCCACCAGCAGTAACACATACTGTTGCTTCCTCTTTTTTGGACATGGTCAGGCCCTACGGAGAATTATAGAGACATAATAAATTCAGACTATAGTCTTGATCCAAAGGACTTTCAAGACTGCCCAGCCAATTCACAGGAAACAGCAAACACCGTGAGGCAAACTATAAATAGGGTAGGGCATCACAATTTTAAATTAAAAATCATTTGTGTGATTATCTGCTTTATGACAGTAGTCCTTCTGGGTCATAAGTCCCTTGAGGATAGGGATTGAATCTATTTTTTTTTTTGCCATCAGATTCCTAGCACCTGGGACAGTGCTTGCAATATAGAAGATGCCTCAGTATTTATTTTCTGACTGAATGGTTGGGGTTTGACACTTGTTATCTTGGAGTGATGTCTGCTGTGAATTGTTTTCCTTATGAATTCACTTACAAACTTTTCAGCATCTGAGTAAATCACACATAAACTAGATAAAGTGAGAGTCTAGCTGAGTGAACAAGGAGGACAATTAATGGTCCAATATATATAGGCATGACCTGTATGTGAACAGATTAGATAACTGCTATTTTGGTGGAAAGGATGCTGGAAAACTGCCCCATGGAGACCTGTTTTTGTTTGTTTGTTTGTTTTTTCAGACAAAAAAAGAAAAATATCTGACTTCTTTTAGATAGTAGTTCCCTTGGGAGTGATGCATTTTAAGTCTTCCAATTTCCCCATGCAAGTGAAGAAATGACACCCTATGTCTTTATTTCCCAATATTTTTGAGGCTTTGTCAAAATGGAGACCCAGATTAAACTGTGGGGATAGTATGATAGTCTGCTTACAAATAACTGGACTTTCCTTTATTCTGATGGAAATTAGTTTAGTTGTAGGAACAACTCTCAGATTCAAATTTTGAGAGAAGAACCAAGGGGATCATACTCTAATCCCCATGGAATTAGGAATTGACAGTTAAAAGCATTAAAATTGATAGTATCTTTGAGTTTCAAGCTCCACATATCTCATTATCAAGTTCAAAGTATGCTGTCATTTTTTCTCAGTAATTATGCTGTTATCTCCACATAACCAGGCCAACAGGAACAAGGTCAGGAAGTTAAGGCTGGGGTCTGGTACTGAAACCTACATCTCCTGACTCACAGACACCCTCCCCCCCATTTCTGTTTCGTATTTGTCCCATGCTGCCTGGCATCTTATCTGCAAACAGATGCGTGTGCCCCCTGGCTGGAAAAGCCCCAGAATGCTGGGTATTTCATTCTTGAGCTTAGTAGGAGATTGAACTCTTTGGAATTCTTGCACAACCTTGAGCAAAAAGGTGAAAACTGTCAGCTTTGATAAATGACAGCGGAAGGACCCTTCCCTTCAGCATGCTTTTGTAAACATGAAACAGTTGCTGGAATATTATATTAGAGATGACTTATCTCCTCCATTACAATGTTTCCTTTTCTTTAATGCAATTTAGTTAAAGCAAATGAGCAGAAAGTCTTGGGACAGACTACATTCAATACTTCAGGAGGAGTTACTGCAAGGGAGCTGTGGATGAGAAGGCTAAGGCCTTCTGCCTGGGAGGCCTGCGCTTAGGCCTTGGGCTGTACCCACGGGAAATTGCATTTGGACCTTCTACTGCATCCTAAATCAAGGGCAGCTGGCAGCTTTCCAAAAGCAAAACTGCAAGGGTATCTGAGGCCAAACTGCCCAACCCTAGCGAGAGTGGGCTCAGGTGTGTGAATTCGGACTCACATACGACCTCATGTGAACACTGATTCATCAGTCTTTTATTTTGTGAATTTTAAAGTGCACTCATCTCCTGCCAAGGAGGAGTTCCTCCATTATACACTAGAAAACGGAAAGGATAAATTACTCCGAAATTTCTCGGGGCCAAGAGACCAGGCCTGACTTTGGAATACGCTTCTTCATCTTTACGCTTCTTGATCTTTATTCCGGTGAGCACGTGCTAGAGCGCCCCTCGCCGGGTTTTGCAGAGCGGGCATTCCCGCGCCCCGAACCCCACATCTACACAGGCAGCTCCAGCGTGGGCCGCCAGGGCAGGGGTCCAGCGCGGTCCGCTCTCGAAGGTTGCGCCTCTGCCTGCCCAGACCAAGCCCGCTACCCGCGGGACTGAGAGCCTCTGGCCTGGCTGGTTACCTCGGGCGGGGTCGAGTGGCCCGGGCCCCGCCCACCGCGCCTGGGGGAGGGGCTTGTGCGTCACGTGACGGCGGCTCTGAGTGCTGAGTGCCCCGCCCGGCCGGAGGAGGCCCGGGCCCGACCCGGCCCGTGAGCACTGCTTGCTGTCCGCGCGCTCCGCACCCGCGGCGTCCACCGTCCGCGGCCCCTCGCCCGCCGGCCGGGGGCTTGCCGGCAGCGGGAGCGGCCTCAAAATGGACGAAGACGGTGGCGGCGGCGAGGGCGGTGGCGGTGAGTGTCGGAGGTGTGGCCCACCGGGCCGGCGGCCTGGGGCGGGGGTCGCGGACGCGTGGGGCTGGAGCCCGGGCGACCAGTCCGGGTACAGGTCTGCGTGAGGAGACGGCGTCCCGGGCAGCCCCTTGCGGGCTGGCGGCCGCGGAGGCCCGAGGCAGGGGTCCGGGGGCCCAGGGTAGGGGGCCGGCGGGGTCACCGCCCAGCCCGAGTAGGGTCCCGGGGCGAGGGCGGGGCCGCTCGCCGGCTGGGGTCTCCCCGAGGCTGGAGCCTGGCTCGGGGGTCGCTCCCCTGGGGCGGGGGACCTTGGGGGCGACCTTCTTCGCCAAGGGCGTTCACACCCTCCAGAGCCCAGCCGCAGGGTGGGTGACCCTTTCTCGGGTAGTGGCCGGGGTGGGGGAGTCCACGGGAATGGGAGGGGAAAGTTTTGCATTGAGGATTCTTGGGGTTCACGAGGGGCGGGTGGGTTGAAAATCGTGACAGTTTTTTTGACTTTAGGTTAAAAGTAGTCAGTGGGAACGCTTACACGAGGTGGGGCTGGCAGGGTCAACGCCTTTCATGAACTAGGAAATGTTACTCTGAGTGAGCTAGAAATAAGTCTGAGGATCGAGGGTCGGACTGGCACTGCAGCCGGCAGCCGAGGCCAGGCTCGAAAACCAGGCTGACGGTCAATTGCCTCTTGCTGGAAGATTCTCATTTGTTGCAAATTATTTAGTGGACTGCAAATTACTGTCGTGTCATGCTGCGAATTACGCCCTTAAAACTGAGTGCCGGTATGTGGTGTCGGTGTCTGGTGTCTTTCGTTTGGAAAGCAGAGGGTTAACACCCCTATTTTACAGGAACGCCCGAAGTTGGGGTTATCTCCACTTCTGCTGAAGCTCTCTCCTTTTTGCTGCTTTAGCGAATCATCAGAACCCCTGGTAATAAGGGAGAGTTGGGGGGGAAAATTGTAATTAGAAACTGGTGGAGCAGCTGTCTGTAAGAATCAGCTGTATTGAATGCTTCAGGATGAAGTGGTTAATCAAGGTGCCTTCTAGAATTCAAGTGCAGCGCAAAGGGGGGTGGGGAAGGTATTTGTGCCCTAAGAAGCGATGCGGCTGAGAAGATGGGGAGTTGGCCCGAGTGGTGGCATTTGGCGAGTTGGGCTCTCCCACTTCAGCTAGGCTAGCGCTGTTGCACCGAGTGGGTGTGTTGTTTATGAAAGAAAGTGCTGTGGAGCGAAGGAGCGCAGTTGCAAACCCTCCTACAGTCAGCCTGGCTGCGTGAAGATTCTCAGTCATGAATTCTCCGTGGATACCGTGTTTCCTGCCTATCCCAATTTTGGTGACAGCAAAAGTGACAGCAGTTTTTTCCTTTTAGCAAATAAAGGCAAACAATTGTAATATTTAAAAGTTTGGATGTTAACGTCAAGTTAGCCAGCTCTTTGGGAGGTGTTTCAGCCTCTGCTAGTAAAGAAATGAAGGTGAAAAGCCAAACAGAGGAAGCCGATGTGCCCCGGCAGTTTATAGGTCCTGAAATTATGTAACAAATTATAACAAAGGATGACATTAAGTATCAAAAGTCTTTTAGCAAACTGTAAACAGCACCACTTATAGGACAATGATGAGGTGAATTATGGGAAGTTTACTGGATTAATTGTTTTACAACCGTTAAAATTAGCCACTTATTTTACATGCCAGGTTTAAACGATGTAAAACTGATATTATGGGTATTTTATTTTCTTGGCTTCTGTATCTCCCAAGTTTATAGAATAATTGTGTATTACTTTCAAATATAAAAAAAAACTTATAAAAAACGTGCCTGCAGTGTATTATTTAATTCACTTCACTGGGACATTCAACAAGGAGCAGATATTTATTGTCTACTGAAATGCCAGGTAACCTAGAAAGTGCTGGAAAACAACCTTTAACCTTAATATGATTTTATTAAAATTTTTCTTTGCTTTGTCAAATATACTTTAAAATGGCAACCTTATAGTAAATTTTTGGATAAGTGAAAGTCTTAGTTTCAAAGTGAATTGTTATATAGTTAGTATATAAATTATATAAATTTGATGTGCTTTCCCATACTTCTGGCTTACACCCCAGCTCTTATATACATCAATAAACAAACAAAAAAATTTTGATGTACTTTTCTCCAACTTGATTTTTGGAAGTTTTGACATTAACATACTTTACAGAAGTTCTGTACAATTATTATTACCATTTAGGGCTTGTTTTCAAAAATAAGTTCAGTCCTTTGAAAGACAGTAATTTCTGTTGCTAGTCATTTGTGAGCTAATTGTAAAACAACTTTTTTCGGTTTATTTTTAGAGTATAGTACAAACTTGGAACTGTATGTGGAAAAGGCAGTTTCAGCTTGTTTACAAGATAGGTAAATAATCTATCCAAACAGTCGTTATGGTGGAGGCTAAAGATAATTTAAAAGGTCTTTTTTGGCTATTATGTTGGTTGGGTTAAAAAGTTTTAAAAAGGATTCCTACTTGCTGTTTTAATATTTATTGTTTAACAATTTTTGTTCAGGGTATTATTTGTTCCTTCAATGTGAGATAAGGAGAGGATGGTGATTTGAATGGTTGGAAGGCAGTTCTAAGGAGGAGGGGGAGTTCAAGATTACAAGAACACATTGTTACTTATAATGTGTGCAGAGTATAGTTAAGGTATTTTTCAATCCCTTTGGGGGGTTTTGTTGCCGTGGGGTTTTCTAGAACAATTCTTGAGCTATGTCTCTACTTGGCAGGTGACTGGCTAGTTTGGCCCGTTGCCACCATTTTGATGTTGTTTGGTAGTCTCTGATGTTCCTGAATGGACTGTCTGTGGCAGATGAAGTGAATAACTTTATTGGTTGTCCCCTTCCTGTAACCCCTACCCCCCACATAGACGAGGGTTATCTGCGTTTCATGAAGATGGGCCTCACTCAATAAGATAGATATAAAATAAGATGCCATAGTGAGAGCCAATGTTTCACCTGTCAGGCACACTGTAACCCCCCACCTTTGAAACCATCTGTTGGCGATTGGAGTGGAAATTAGTTACAGCTCTTAAGAACACATTGCCAGCCTCTCTTCTGTTGGCCCAGATCTACCTAGAGCTTGTCCTTCCCCTGCAGGGGAGGTGGGGAGGCACACCGCTGCAGCTAGTGTTTCCCAAGCCTCTTGAATCAGCTGACCAGCAGAACTACTGGTGGTAAGTTGGCTAGCAGGAAGGAGAAACCAGGCTCTTTCTGCTCCTCTCCTCAGCTCCTTTTGACTCCAGTTCCTGCCCATTGACTCAGCTCCTGAGCTTTGAAAATACTTCCAACCTTCGAGGTGGTAGCAGCTTCTTGGTCTTGCTCATTTCTGGGTTATCTAACCATTTCCATCAGTCATAACTTGTATTTAATTCCCTCCACTTGGACACCTTGGATGGACTTCTGTTTTCTCTGGATGGACTCTGGTAGATAGAGAAGAGCTGGACTTTTGAAATTCCCAGTGCATAAACTTTGACTCAGCAATAATATTTCGAGGAGTTTAACCTGCAGATATATTTGTGATACGTGAGATACCACAGGTACAAGAGTAACCTTTGCATGGTCTGTAGTAGTCAGTGATGGAAAATAACCTGAGTATCAGCAGGAGACTCATCAGGTAAATATACACAGCTGGTGAAAGAAGTCGGTAAAGTTGTAGAGAGGAATGTAGAGGCCCTTTATAAATTGTTAAGGAGAGATCTCCAAAATATCTCATCATAAAAGCAATGTATAGGAAAAGGTGCATTGTGTGCAACCATTTCTGTTATTAAAAAAAAAAGTGCTTGTCAATACTTGAAAATTCTGGGAAGGCTGAACAAGGACCTGTTAACAATGGTTACCTGTCTGAGGAGGGACGTGGGAGCAAAACAGCTGGGGATGTAGGCAGAGAGGAAACTTTGGGGTATGTCTTATTTATTGAAAATCCAAAACAACATTTAGCTTAACTTCACTGTTTTCCAACATTGGAAAGCAGTTCCATAGAAAAATGCTGGTGAGGAAACACCCTTTTTGGGAGTTTTATATCTTTTAAAAAACAATATAAAATGTAAATGATTATAACATCCATTACCTATTTTTAATCTGCACCTTGGAAATCAACAACCAGTGTTCTTTTGACTATTTAAAAAGTAACATGATTGTCCCTTCCTGGTGGCACAGAGGGTTAAAGCACAGCACTGAGAAGCTTAAGCCACTTCCGCATGAGTTCGATTCCCACCTGCCCTGGAGGAGATCCATATGGCGAGGCAGACCTCTCCTGACCT